CCAAGGCATTGTGGAAGAGGGTCCAGAAAGATTGTAAGAGTCAGAGGTGGTAGATAACCACAAGAGACAAGAATTTTACAAACACATGGTCAGTTACTCATATGAACTCACAGCAGTGGTGACAGCACACACAAGTCAAGCTCAAACCAGACCAAAAAAAAAAAAAAAAATCCCAGCACAGACATAGGGAAGTAGATAAGAAACCCCAACCCTACCTAAGGACTATTAGCAACCAATGGTTGCTGGGAAGGGAGGGGAGAGGTAATCTCTTTCAAGGATGTGAGTCTTAGACTAACCAGGTTCCAGTGGATGAACCTATACTGAAGGATATTTGGGGACACAAATCACTCTACAAGCCTTATTATACAGACAATAGAGCATACTAAATTGGGCAAGGGACAGTAAGGGAAGGTTTGGATGGAGGGAGATCTAAATACCATCAAATTATATTGCATGAAAATCAGAAAATCCAATTTATAATTTTTTTTAAAAAGAAAAGAAACATGGAATCTTTGCCAAGCATGTAGTTCACACCTATAATCCCAGCACTTGGGAGGCTAAGACAGAAGGATTGCTGCAAGTTCCAGGCTAGCTCAGGCTATAATCTGTCTCAAAAATAAATAAATAGGGGGTGGAGAGATGGTTCAGGGATTAAGAGCACTTGCTGTTCTTCCAGAGGACCCAGGTTCAACTCCTAGTACCCACATGGAGGCTCTGGCTCTGTTGCCCTCTTCTGGCCTTTACAAACACTATACACATACCAATAAACATACTAGCAATCAAAACACTTATACAAATAAAAAAAATTTAAATCATTTAAAAATTAAGTTTAAAAGGCAGGTTTGCTGAATCAGAAGACAAAACACATAGTTTATGTGTGGGTCACTTGGCCCTCTGAAGGCAGCATGAGAGGCACTGGGCCCACAGCCTGAACCCAAAAGAGTGCCAGCACCTTTCTGGATGGCTTTCGTCCTGACTGCTGATGTCTGAAAGATTCAGAAGACAAAGATGACAGATTTTTCAAGTATTGCCTCTAAATCTGCCTATGAACCAACTATGAGATGAAACTGATGAATTACTATTCTGTTTGTGATTATCGTGTTTTGACTATGTTGACAGTAGTTTTCAGTTTTGTGTTTGAAACAGGTTCTCATGTATCCCAGGGTGGCTTCAAAATCCCTAAGTAGCTGAGAATAACCTTGAACTTCTGGTACCCCTGCCTCTGCTGGGATTACAGGCATGCACCACCACACCCAGCTTATGAAGTGCTGAAGATAAAACCCAGGGTTTCATGAATGCTAGGCAAGCATTCTACCAGCTAAGCTACAGCCCCAGCCCATATACTGCATTTTTTTGAGATGCACAGTGGAGTATGCTGAGGTGTATGAGACATGATGCCTATGACTAACTGAACTATGTCAGCATTAAAAACATTTATTCGGCCAGGCGTGGTGGCACACGCCTTTAATCTCAGCACTTGGGAGGCAGAGGCAGATGGATCTCTGGGAGTTCAAGGCCAGCCTGGTCTCCATGGTGAACCCAGGACAGCTGGGGCTACAGGGAGGGAAGACTCTGTCTCAAAAAGACCAAACAAAACAAAGCAAAACAAAACAAAACAAAACATTTATTTAGGTCTCTGATGTATCTTGGCATTTATATTTCTTTGGATTTATATAATTTGGAGTTTGCCTAGATAGCTGAATCTATAGGCTAATGATTTTTGGCTTTTGTTTTGTTTTTTGGGGTTTTTTTTGCCAAATATGGGAAATTTTCAATTATTTCTTTAAATATTTTATCAGACACATTCTCTTCCTCTTCCCTTTCCAGAATTCCTCTAGGATGAGGAGGAAAAATGTCAATTGGGGGGGGGGGGTATATGCCCAAAGGAATCTGAGGTTCTATTTGCTCCCCACCCCCCGCTTCTGTTGTTCAGACTGAAGAATTTCTATTGTTCTACCTTTAAGCTCACTGATTCTTTCCTCTGTCCTTTCCATTGTGGTGTTGATCCGTTCACCAGGATTTTTGTCTTACTATATTTTTCACTTTTGCAATTTCCACTTGATATTCTTTACTTTTTAAATTGTTTACTTTATTATTTTTATTTTATGTGTATGAAAGTATTGCCTGCATGTATGTAAGTGCACCTGTGTTGTGCAATGCCCATGGAGGTCAGAAGAGGGCTTCAGATCCCCCGGGAACTGGAGTCAGGAACAATTGTTACCTGCCATGTAGGTTCTGGGAATCAAACCCAGGTCCTCCTTGGAAAGAGCAGCCAGTGCTCTTAATCACAGAACCATCCCTCTGGCCCCTCCGCTTGATATTCTTTGTATCTTCTATTTCTTTGGCGATATTTTCTATTTTTCATTTGTTTTGTGTAAGTGCAGTTATTCATTGTAGCATTTTTATGATGGCTGCCTTTAAATTCCTTGCTAGATCATTCTAATGTGTGTCATACTAATGTTAGTATCATTCAAATTGAGATTTTCCTGGCTCTTGGCATGACAAATCATTATCAATTGAAATGTGAACATTTTGTACATCATGTTACGAGATTCTAGGGCTTGTTTATATCTTCTGTTGTAGCAGGGCTCCTCTGACACCATTCCAATGGGATGGGGAAGATGAGAGGGCAGCTGACTTGTTGCAATCGCCTGGTTGTGCTTCTGACTGCTATCTACAATAAATTCTTTTCCTTTGTGTCTACTGTCCCTGTCCTGTACAATGTGAATTCTATTCCCAGCACATTGCCTCAGTATAGAACATTCTCCTCCAAAGACACAAATAAATAAGGCACAAAGCAGCTGCAGTCCTTTCAAGTCCTTCTATGAATCCCTCAAGCTTACCCTGTTAAACGACTAGACCAAACTTTTCAGTTCTAGCTGTTGTTTTCGAATTGGTTTGCTGAGTTTTTGACTTAGTACCCACCATCCAGCCATTCAAAATCCAGTGTTTCCCACTACTCCCCTTAACTCATTCCTGCACAGAAGATTACCCCATACAGATCTTGTAATCATCAATGATTCAGTCTCATTTATTCATGAAGGTATCTTTACACCAAGCTTTGTAACAGACGTTGCTTGTGTGGTTTGATTTTGTTATTTAATTACTCTGTGCCACTTACTGACTATATTTAGGGGAAATTCAGAAACTATACCATACTGCCATTTAAGAACAGATGCTAATGCTGTATAATCTTCATTAATAAAAAATACAGAGAAACAATTTCCAGGTCACAAAATTAGAATGATTAAATATTCATAAAGCTTTGTCTTCAAGCCGGGCATGATGGCACTGGCCTTTAATCCCAGTACTTGGGAGGCAGAGGCAGGGGGATCTCTATGAGTTAGAGGCCAGCAAGTCCCAGGCCAGCTGGGGCTACAGGGAGACCCTGTCTCAAAAAAGACAAGAAACAAAAAAAAAAAAAAAAAAAAAAACTTTTTCTTCAAGTCTATTCTGAAATGTTAATTCTACTATGATTTATATATATTTTTTTTTCTCTCTCTTCAAACAAGCAGCATAAAATCAGAAAACAAACTTCAAGCCCTGTGAAGTATGAGACAAAGGTTGTTTCCACTAATAAACATAAATTGAAACCATGGGTCTGGAGAGATGACTCAATGGTTTAAGAGCACTGACTGCTTTTGTAGAGGACCCAGGTTCAATTCCTAGCACCTACATAGTAGCTAACAACCATCCATAACTCCAGTTCCAGGGGATTATTGTCTTCTGGCCTCTGTGGGCATTTCATGACACTTACATACATGCAGGCAATGCACTCATACACATAAATTTTTTTTTTTAAAAGATCATTCACAATATGTCAAGTGGACTTAATTCCTAAAAATGCCATTTGACATATGAAAACTATTAATTAAGATAAAGTAGGCTGGAGAGATGGCTCAGCAGTTAAGAAAGGACTGTTCTTGCAGAAGACCCAGGTTTGAGTCCCAGCACCCACAGAGCAGCTAACAACTGTCCATAACTCCAGTTCCAGGGGATCCAACAGCCTCTTCAGTCCTCCATGGGCATTGCACGACACAGGTGCACTTACCTACATTCAGGCATAACACTTATATGCATAAAATAAAAATAATAAATAAAACATTTTAAAAATAAATTAAGATAAAGTAAACCCCTATTTCTATAACCTACTATATAGCTGAAGCAAAATATCTGAAAAAGTATCTCAAAAAGCTGAATTAGTCTTATTATGACAATGAATTCTTTGGGGCTCTCAATTTTCAAAACATCAGTGTATATCAAAAAAGTTGGGGTTTGAAAAATGGCACAGCAGTTAAGAGCACCTGAGTTCAGTTCCCAGAATCCACATAGTGGCTAGCAACCATCCATAACTCCAGTTTCAGGGGACCTGATGCCCTCTTCTGACCTCCACAGGCATTTCATGACATAGGTGCACTTACATACACACAGGCAATCTGCTCATACACAGAAAATAAAATAAAAATAATAAAAACTAAAAAAAGAGAAGTTTAGGCTGGGCATAATGGCACACACTTTGATCCCATCACTTAGGAGGCAGAGGTGGGCAGATCTCTGTGAGATTAAGGGCAGCCTGTAAACATAGCATATTCTAGGCCATCTGGGATTACAGGGAGACCCTGCTCAAAAAGGCCAAAAAAAAAAATTTTAGAAGATTACTACCAAAATATTAACAGAGATTTTCTTTAGGGATTACTTATCATTCCTTTTCTTTTTATTATTTATAATTTTTCAAAATGGAAACCTAAGCTTCTTGCGAAAGTGTTTAAAAACCACTTAAGGAGCTACTGAGATGATTCAGTGGGCAGTGTTGGCCATGCAAGTCCTGCAATCTGAGTTTAATCCCTGAAATCCTTATAAAGGTGGAAAGAGAGATCCAACTCCACAAAGATATCTTCTGATCTCTACACACATGCCATGGTTTGCCCTGACCCCAAAATCATACACTCATACACACAGTAATAATAAAAAAAAATTGATAATTATAAAATAAAACTTACGCTAAAACCATGTTGCAATCTGAGTGGTTGAACATATATCCTCCAACAATCCACATTATATTTCCATTGACCACAGCTTTATGAGAGGCTCTAGGAAGCTTTAAATCAGAATATTCTTCTCGAGTCCAAAAAGACTGATTAGCTGGCACAGGAATTGAACATCCAGGACCTAATGAAACACAATAAATTAGTTTTATAAAATATAGCTTGAGTTTACAGTATTTTAAGTTTTAATACTCTAAATGTAACAAATATTTAAATAAGTTTTTCCTTTAGCATTTAAGTATCAAACAAATTTCTTTAACTTGTGTTTTTAATTTGCTCAAGATATTAACCAAAGTGAATTCCTAATAAAATTTAAAATGATATACTTTCTAACAACTTGGTGATACAGATGAAAAAGACAAAAAAGGAGATTTGATTTCTGCTGCAACATCTGTAAGGTGGAAGGCATTCCCCCCTATTAATTCCTTAATATCAACTAAACAAACCGCAACATTTAAATGAAATAAATTCAAAATAAAAAGGTTCTGGGTATGGTGGCGCACAACTTTGGTCCCATCACTTGAGAGGCAGAGATAGAGGCGGGTGGATCTCTCTAAGATCAAGGCCAGCTGGTCTCCAAGCTGGTGAATTCTAGGCCAGGTGGGGCTATAGGGAGGCTCTGTCTCAAAAATGAATAAATAAACAAAACTTCTTAGGAAACAGAATTATTACTAGCTCTTGTCCCCATCTCTAAGCTCATTCTCTGATATGCCCTCTTAATGCTGAGACCAAATCCCCCAGTGTTCATGAATGAGTTGCAAAGGATGTCAAACCCCTCCACAATTCTAAGGCTACTACAATCCACCTACATGTAAAATAGATTTGTAAGAATCTGGATAAAGGGATGTGAAAGCTTACATACCATCTGATATTTGGTTAACATCAATTATACAGATGCTAAGAATAAACTAACGACTTACTGAACTGGGAACTGTCTTTGAAGTGAGAGGAAAATGAAACAGAAGCTCCTACCCTGCCACTGGGAGGAACAGGAGCATCCTCTGACATCATTTGAATTGCAGATGCCCCAATGAGGAAAACCAGTTGTTTGTACAGTGAGGAATGTCACATGATTCGCCTTTCCAGTTTTCAGAACACTCACACTCAACAGCATTGCTGCTGTTACTGGTTTTACATTCTCCTCGGCCTGAGCAATTATTCGGACACATGTCAAAACTACAAAGATAGTAAGGAAAACTAAGTCAACAAAAACAGCACTTCAAATAATTTTGTAGAACTTTCTCTTACACAATTTAATAATCTCTTCATCTTTTTAGTTTATTCACATGTTGTAACTACAGTACTTACCATTCAGCCCAAATGTAGTCCCTGAGCATTGTATGGCTAGAGACTGAGGTTCAAGTAATGAAACAAAATCAACCCTGCTAGACTCTCTTGTGAAGAGGGTAAAAACAAATAACTCATAAGATTAAAGAAATTCTAAGACAGAGAGATTAGTGCAAAATTATCTGGACTTGGCTAGGAACCACTATCCTATTCTACTTGATAGCTCAGTAGTAATGAGTGTTATAATAGTTCTAAATTCATGGTCAGAAATGGGGGGAGGGGAATAAAACAAACTGCCAACAATGTATTTATGGTACACACTTTTCTGAAAATTCATGTAATTTAAGATTACTACCCAGTAGTATACTTAAAATCCTTAAGCTACTTTTTATTTTAAGTTACTTTTATTCCAGACAGATGGAAAGCCAATTTAACTTAATATATGAGTTTAAATGTGTCTCACAACATGATTTAAGACAACTGTATTGATAGCAGGTTGAAATGATATAATTCAGATTTTAAAAGGAGTACATTAATGGACTATCAACATGCTTTAAAAATATAGATTTCTGCCGGGCATGGTGGCGCACGCCTTTAATCCCAGCACTCGGGAGGCAGAGGCAAGTGGGTCTCTGTGAGTTCAAGGCCAGCCTAGTCTCCATAGTGAGTTCCAGGACAGCTGGGGCTATAGGGAGACCCTGTCTCAAAAAGACCATATATATATATATATATATTTGTTCTACTATTAAGTACATGACATTACTAGTCTTTGTTAAATTATACTTAGTAAAACCCTGATGTTCTCTTCCAATAGGAGGACAATGTACCCCTCTTCTAAGATAGCAGCACCTAGCAAACTGTGGCCCCAGCTACTTATGCTGCAGCGTTATTTAACCTTCTAGCTCCTGCTTCCTCAATTATAAAATGAACAGAAAAACAGTACCTGTACCTCCCTGAGTATTTAAAAGAATTTTAAATAAGATACCTGGCACTCTGTAAACTCTACAATGTATTAATAATTATTGTTAAGACATAAGTCTTTTGAATAAAATTGCAAATATTAAATTTAAATATCTTACTTGTAAGTGATATTAAATCCAGTCAAATTATACGCAGCATCACTAAAGAAATGCAGCAGTGCATAACCTGATGTGACAACAACCTCAGGGACAGTCTCGTTGCCATCTCTCTCAGGAACAATGAGGCCACTGAAATGGAAACACGTATCTTGTAGGGAGAAGCACAATCACACACAGGTCAAATTGTAAATTGTAACACAGGCAATTTCAAAACAGGAATTCACCTTTACAACTTTGAAAACCAAACTCAGAGAAAGGAGTGAATTCGCAACACACACCTTATTCATTCTAGGTACAGCTCATCCTGGATCTGCTAAGAAACAGAACTGAATCTTTCCTTGTTTCATTTCTAAAAGGATTTGAAATCAATCAGTTTGTGTGTGTGTGTGTGTGTGTGTGTGTGTGTGTGTGTGGTGTGTATGTGGTTTGTTTGTTTGTTTGTTTGTTTGTTTGTTATAGAACTTTATGAGCCAGGCCAGCTGCTGAGGCAGAAGTAGTAGAGGAAGAAAAGAAAAACTGTATTCCAGGTCCCGTTTGCAAGATACTAAAATGGGTCGTAAAGATAAATTGTTTGTGATTAATGAGGTCTGCGAAATGAAAAACTGCAATAAATGCATCTATTTTGAAGATAAGAAAAACCAGAATCTCTATATGTGGCTTTCAAATTCACCTCATGGACTGTCGGCCAAATTCTTAGTTCAAAATATTCATAACCTGGCTGAATTAAAGATGACTGGAAATTGTTTGAAAGGTTCTCACCCCTTTTTTTCTTTTGACCCTGTTTTTGATGAATTGCCACATTATGCTTTGTTGAAAGAACTCTTAATTAGATTTTTAGTACACCATGGTATCATCCCAAGAGTCAGCCATTTGTGGACCATGTGTTTACTTTCACCATTTTGGATGATGAGATATGGTTTTGAAACTTTTAGATCATAGAAGAAAATGCTGCTCTTTTAGAACTAGGACCTCGTTTTGTCTTAAATCTCATCAAGATTTTTCAGGAAAGTTTTGGAGGACCAGCTTTATATGAAAATCCTCACTAACAGTTCCCACACGTGCATCGATGTGTCATAAGGTCCATCATGGCTGCAAAGTACAGCGAGAAACAGGAAGTCAAAGATGTTCAGAAACTGAGGAAGAAAGAACCAAAGACTATTCTTTCACATGATCCCATTAAAGACGTGTTTGTTATACCAGCTGAAGAAAAACCAGTAGAAATACAGTTAGGTAAAACCAGAGTCCAAAGTAGATTTGAAAGCAAGAAAGAAAAGGATTTACAAAAGGCGACAAAAGTTGCAGCAGAAGATAAACTGGGAGTGCAAAGTGAATCCACGGATAACTAATAATTTTTCAGTTACTGTATATTTATTTGTATTCTGTATGTAAATAGTTTTAGTATTCAGAGCTACTTTATGTCTAGTTACAGTGCCATTTTTAAAAAACGAATTAAAATTCAAATCAGTAAAAAAAAAATTTTATAATGCCCCAAGTTTTCATTATCACATAAAATAACAAACTTTATGAATTGATTATTGCCAAGTATGTACTGTTGAAAGATCAAGTATTTTATGTATTTTGTTTATTTAGTAATGTGTTATAAATACTGTTATATTTTAACACTTGTAACTATTTTATAAATAAATGTTCTATATAAAATATAAATAGAAAAGTGAGGTGCATCTATGATCCTTATACCATTAGCATTCTGAGGCATTTTCTTTGCCCAATCGGTAGTACATTTTGTTCAGTTTTACAAATAATACACCATAGGCATTCCTTGTCACTGAATGCTCTCTAAAGTCTCCCTAGGACCTCACCAAGGGTCCAGTCATAATATGATGATTGATGAAGTAACTGTTGGGTACCAATAAATCCTGTGTAACTAAATATCATTTTTAAGATTCTCGACCCATAATGCCAATTTGTTTTTCAAAAGATATGTGCTAACCTGAAATCTTATCAACACTGAACCAAAGCGTCCACCACTCCACATCACCTTACCAACAAAAAGGGTACCTTTCACACCAAGGAGGATTAAAATTTTCATCTTCCTAATTTAATGGGTGAAAAGTTATTCTTATTGTGACTTTGAGTTCTTTCACATTCCCAAGGTCAATCATTTTTAATGTTTACTTGCCATGTCCATTTCTTTAAATGCCCCATCTTTTTTTGTTCCATTATTAATTCACTACTACCACTGCCACCACTACCAACCACATTCAGTCGATACTTAGATGCTTAGTAAGACCCATATAATTTGCTCTACACATAACAACTTTATCCAATGAACCAACGTCTTATCTTCTATTCCTCTCTCTTTTACTCATTCACTGCTAGTCCCCTTACTTTCCTGAAGGGCACACCAGGTACATTATCAATTCAGGGCTATGACCATCTTAAATGTTCATTGACTGACCTACTGATTCTCTTTGTAAAAAGAAAACATAAAAGAATTCTAACCATTCAGATGGCAACAGGTTGAAAATCACCTAATTGTTCATCTACAGGAAGCATATTAAATGAGTCATTACAAAACTGTAGGTTTGCAAGACTAAGGAGTTCATAAAGGCAACAGGATAGAGTATAGAGACAGAAGGCAAAGTAAGTGGTCCATGTAAGTGTACATCTACATGAATTCAGATGAACACACATAAAAGTGACCAGAAGAGTACATAAACAGGTAATGAAGATAAGAAGATGGAATTTTCATTTAATTTGTGTGTATGTATGTGGGAGGGTATATATATGAACATGTGAGTATGCATGCAGAGGCCAGATGTGGGCAACAGGTGTCTTCCTCAATCACTTTTCCATCTAATTTCTGAGGCGATCTCTCACTGAACCAGAGTTCACTGATTAGCTAGATTCCTATCTCTATCTCCCCAGCACTGAGATTACAGGTGCAAACAGCAACATCTGGCTTTTTATGTGGGTGGTAGAGATCCAAACTCAGGTCTTCATGCTTGCAATGGCAAGCATTTTGACAACTGAGCCATCTTCCCAGCTCTCATATAAATTCTAGTATGAATATGAAACTTAGGAACACTAAGACTCAGACAGTACTCCAGGACTTACAAAACACTGACACATTTTCTACTGTGCATTCAGTTAATAAATACTAAGCACTGAATATATGTGAGGCACTGTTCTAGGTACCAGGAAAACAACAGTGAACAAGACAATGTCCTTGTCCTCTTGGAATATAGATAAACAAATAAGCCTGTATACAGTACCTTACATGGGGTGCGTGTATATACAACACCAAGCAGAGATAATTCCATGAAGGGAGACAGCAGAGGAAAAGAACAGAAAGTACTGTTTTAGACAGTTAGAGGAGGGTTTGAAAGAGGTGACATCTGATCACAGACTTAAATGAAGTCACTAGCCATCATCATGCTTTCACTGGTTTCACAAACAGAGGTTGAGGAGCCTTCATTCAAATGCTTTGGATAAGACATGGTTCAAGTTTCAAAGGTTTCAGATTTGAGAATATTGAGACACATATATATCAGAAAATTTTATATTTAATATATACCTCATACACATAGCCTGAAAATAATTTTATACAATACCTTTTAAAATTGGGTTCATGAAAACAAGGTTTCAAAGTGTGCACTCCTGGCATCATGTAAACACTTGAAAAGTTTCGGATTTGAAAGAATTTCAGACTTTTGGATTAAGGATACTCCATTTTTTTATATTTTATATTGTATTTATTATTTTTATTTTATGTGTATGAGAGTATTGCCTCCATCTATGTGAATGCACCCATGTTGTGCAATGCCACGGAGGTCAGAAGGGAGCTTCAGATCCCCCTGGAACTGGAGTTAAGGATGGTATGTAGCCACCATGTGGGTGCTGGGAATTGAACCCAAGTCCTCTGCAAGAGCAGTCAGTGCCCCTAACCGCTGAGCCATCTCTCCACCCCAGGATACTTCATTTGTACCAAAATCTCTTGAAATGTTGAAGGGCTATATAATTATGAGCACAAGGGGTCAGCGATATGGCTCAGCAGGTAAAGCACTTACTGCACAAGCCTGACAATCTGAGTTTGATCTCAGGAACCCACATAAAGGTGAAAAAAAAAGAATATTAAAACCACAAAGTTTTCTTCTGACCTTCACACATGTGCAATGGCACATGTGCTTCTGCACACACATACATGTGTGCTGACACGCACATACATAAACACACAGTCACACAATAATGTTGGTCTGAGCAAAATGGGTGTAGAAGTATAAGGGTACATCAGTCCCCTGATCTGTCCTTACTTACTCCCATGAACAACTTATTCCCATCCTCACCATGTGACATTCAAGCAGACTAGCACCAAGGTCCTTTCTTTTCAAAGTCAGGAAATAGGGGCCAGTGAGATGGCTCAGCACTTAGGCAAGTCTGATCCTTGGAACCCATATAAAGGTGGAAGAAGAGAATTGACTCCACAAAGTTGTCCTCTGTCCTCTACGTGTATACTGTGACACTTGTGGCTCCCCTCCACATCATGCACACATACTCAGTAATAATAAGCTTTAAAAAATGAAATCAAGGAAATAAAATGTTCTAAGGAAAGAAATCTAGAAATAGGACTAGAGAGATGGCTTAGTGGTTAAGAGCACTTACTGCTCTTCCAGAAGACCTAAGTTCAATTGCCAACATTCATACTGGGCAGCTCACAAACACCTGTAACTGCAGCTCCAGAGGATCCAATGCCCTCTTCTGGCCTCTGCAGGTACCCATACACAGACACATACACACATAAATAAAAATAAAATAAATCTTTTTAAAAAATCTAGAAAGTCAGTTACAGATCAAAATCTGTCCCCTAAGAGCATATGAATTTTAGAAATATATATTTTAACATTCTTGGACTAGGGTATAGTTCAGTAGAGTGCTTGTCTAGCATGCATGAGGAACTGACTTTGACAGCTGGAAAGATGGGAGGTGAAGACAGAATTCCCAGGCGATCAGGGCCAGCTAGCATAGGTACAACAAACAACACAGAGACCTTGTCTCAAACAAGGTGCAATGTAAAGACCAACACCTGCAGCTGTACTCTAAGCTCACATGTGCACCTTGGCATGCATGCACCTGCACTCACATACACAAACATGCACATATATCATACACATATTCATATTGTATACACACAAAAAATATTTTAAAAAATTAAAATACATAGGCTGGAGAGATAGCTCAGTGGTTAAAAACACTGACTGTTCTTGCAGAAGACCTGGGTTTGAATCCCAGCACCCACATGGCAGCTAACAACTGTCCATAACTCCAGTCCCAGGGGATCTGACAGCCTCTTCTGACCTCCGTGGGTATTGCACTACATGGGTGCACTTACCTACATGCAGGCAATACACGCATACACATAATAAAATAAATAAATAAATAAAAATTTTTATAAAGTTTAAAAATTAAAATACCAAAATAATTCAGAACACCCTGTGTAACTGGCAAAATTGTATTATTTAACTGTGGATGTAGATGTACCCTGAGCAAGGGAGGGTTCACAAAACATAACTAGCATGTTCCTCATTCCCAGCAGGTAACTACTGCTCAATTTATATACATCCTTCTAGAAATCGTCTCTCTTTTTTTCTTTTTGGTGTTTTTGAGAAAGGGTCTCCCTGTCGCCCCAGCTGGCCTGGAACTCAGAGATTCACCTACCTCTGCCTCCTGAGTGATTGGATTAAAGGTGTATACCACCATACTCAGCTAAAAAGCTTCTCTTAACCACTAAAAGCATACACACAAATACAGACAGATGCACACACAGAGACACACATAGAGAGAACTAGATATACATTCAATAAATAACTCCTAAAGGTCTATGCAATAAAGAATATACAAGAACAAGATGGTCATAGTTCCTGATTTAAATTTGTCACGGAAACAGTATAATATATTATAAAAAAAAATTTTAGTGTAAATTTCACCAATCCAGTACATACAGAAGACAAATCAGGACTAGAATAAAAGTTATCAAACTCTAGAACTAATACCTATTCCATGAAATAAGTATGTTATATAATAATAATGGTAAATTCAGTACGAAGTCAACCCAGGAGACACATTTAAATTCAGAAATCAAATAATGAAAATCTTGTATTTATATGACTGAGCTTACCTAAAAGCAGCAATTAATGGTGCATAAATTGAGTCCCCATCATAAACATATAAATGGTCCCAGCTACACTCTGTAGCAAAATGATTGAAACGAAGTCTCATTATTCTGTTTGGCCTGGAAAGAATTTTTTAGAGTAATTTATAATAATCATCATAATCATTAAGTATTTGAGAAATAGACTTTTTTGAGAGATTATAAGGAGACATGTGTGTGTTTATAAACAGCATTCCTTATTTGTCAAAAATTTATCTAGTATTTCCTATATATAAAAGAACATTAAACATGCACTAGGAAACAGAGCAGGCATGGGCTCTGACTTGGGGCCTTGTAGACTGTTCACAGCCCTGTTTTTAGCATCCAGCACTAGCCCTTCCTTATCTGCATTTCTTTCCTTGCTCAAGATTTCACACCACATCATTTTACAAACACACATTTTTCTAAGCTTACCTGAATCTCTGGTTTTTCATGGCACTACCTAAAAAGCTCTGTCTTAAGAAAACTATTTATCTGCTTTGATGAACACTGAGTCCAAAGAAAACTAAGATGTGCTACAGAAAGTCACACTACTAAGGCAGAGTGGTTCCAGTCTGGTCTCTGCTCATCACTTCACAGGACACTTTGATAATGCCGGCAATCCTCCCAGTAACTTTCCCTCTTCCTTTCTACACTCCCACTCTCTCTACAATTGCTAATTCTCAATGATTATCTCAAATCTCCCAGCCTCAACTTCACATTTTACTATTCACAACATCTAGATGAAAATTCCTGAAATTTTCCAGAATAAACCTTTCTCCTTCCATCTCTCAAATATCTAACTTTTCCCTGTCATGTGGAACTGTCCTGTTCATATTTATGTATGCTTTAAGTATCATATATTTTTTAAAAATCAACAAAACATTTCTTTAAATATGAGACATCTTTCCTCAATGAAAACTATATTTAGGGTCAGGAATTAGTTCCTTTGGTATAGAGTGCTTCTAGCATGCATGAAGTCCTGGGTTCAATCCTGAGCACTGCATAAAAAACCAGGTGTGGTGGTACGCACCTGTAATCCAAACACTCAGGAGGCAGAGAGAGGTAGGAGGACTGTAGCAAGTGGAGGACCGGCCTGATCTACACAGTGAGCCCCAAGCCTGCCAGTGCTTCACAGTGTGATCCCATCTCAACAAAAACAAAACAAACAGACATTTCTGCTAAAGTGCAGGCTTATAATTGATGCTTTTTAAGTGAATGAATTAACTATTTATTGGTCTTAATATGCAAAAAATGGTAATTACAGATAGATAAAACTCAAATAAACAAAACTTATTTGGAATCCTCAAAAGTTTGATCCAGAGGCTAAAATGTTCTGGAAATGTTCTGCCTTAAATGACTGTCACAGCCGGGAATGGCGGCACACACCTTTAATCCCAGCACCTGGTAGGCAGAGGCAGGCAGATCTTTGTGAGTTTGAGGCCAGTCTGGTCTATAGTGAGTTCCAGGACAGCTGGGGCTACAAGGAGACCCTGTCTCAAATAGACGGAAAAAAAAAAAAAAAAAAAAGACTGTCACAAAAAGCAAGGAAAAAATGCAAACAGCTGGAAGGACAAGAGGGATCCAGAGAAGGCCGTACCGGCAAAAGCTGCCCAGAATAAAAATCATCACTTAGAAAAATAACACAATAGCGTAATTGTATAATGCTTTCAATAAACCACTAAAATGCATTAACTTATTTTCAAACTATTACAATTAAAATATATAAATTTCCGGTATAATAAATCACTTGAAGTATTGAGTGAAGGCAGAACGTTTAGAAAATAACAATAATAAATTAAGGGTAGTTTGGTAGTGGAGCACGTACTTGCAAGGCCCTTAGGTTCAATCTCCAGCACCAAAATAAAAGAAGGAAATTTAAAATGTTTTATTTTACTTATTATTTATGTATGCCCATGTACACACATGTGCGCATATATACCACAATGAAAGCATATAGATCAAAGGACAACATTCAGGAGTCAGTTCTCTCCTTCCAATGTGGGATCCAGAGATTGAGGTTGTCAAGCACTTAGCAAGCACTTTACCTTCCAAGTTACGTTGCTGGCCTCCAAAATAAATTTAAAAATAAAAACCACTTGTCAAATGAAAAACTATCCATGAAAGGTATTTTAACAGTAGGGCACAGTGGTACATATCTACAATCCTAGCACTTGGGAGTCTGAGGTGGTTCAAGATCGGCCTGAACTACAAGGCACGGCCCTGTCTTAAAAAACAATAATAACACACACACACACACACACACACACACACACACACACACACAATACTTTATGGTACACTGAGTTCTCTCAATAAAATAAAATAAAAATAAAGTTAGCCATTATGACTTACTGTCCTTCAATGAGCCATGTGCACTTTGTTTTATATTTATAATTTCCAGGTCCATCTGTTACAAACCCAGAAGATCCAGTTAGTCTGCAATTTAAATAAAGAAAAAAAGTCAGTCAAAATTATAATTTTTTTTTTAAGACAGGGTCTCCCTGTAGCCCTAACTGACCTGGATTTGCTATAGAGACCAGGCTGGCCTTGCACTCACAGAGATCCAAGATGCCTCTGCCTCCTGAGTGCTGGGATTAAAGGCGTGTGCCACCACGTCTGGCCAATATATTTCTTAATTACAAATATAATACAAATTAAGCAGATTAGATACAATAGTGTATTACTGCAACTAGTAAAAAATGACTAGACAGTTACATTCATATTAAAAATATCAGTGAAATATTTTCCATACACATAAAAAGATTAAAACTTTAAAATCAATAGAAATTGAAAAAGAAAAAGAAACGTAATTCATTCTAGCTATGAAGGGAAAGTGTGCTTTACACTATAAAAATGAACACAAAAGCTTGTGCCTGCAATTCTAGGCAAGAGGACCACCACCCTGGGCTACCTACACAGTTCCAGGCCAGCCTAGGCTACAGGATTAATTACGCCAGGCGTGGTGGCACACACCTTTAATCCCAGCACTTGGGAGGCAGGCAGATCTCTGAGTTTGAGGCCAGCCTGGTCTACATAGTGAATTCCAGGCCAGCTGCGGCTATAGGGAGACCCTGTCTCAAAAAGATGCCCCCCCCAACAAAGAATCTCACTTTGGTCTGCTCATATCCCTGTTTCCTGTAACACTTTCCTTTCATGGTGTTATAACCAACTTGGACCCCAACCTCTGACTTATCAAATGCTTACCAAAAACTAGGACTGGGGAGATAGATGGATTAGTCAGTAAAGTGAATGCTATGTAACCATGATGGCCTGAGTTTAGATCCTCAGCATCTACATAAAAGCTTGGTGTGGTGGTGTGCACCTGTAACTCCAATGCTAGAGAGGCAAGTGTAAAGACAGGTAGATACTGAGGACTCACTAGCCAGCAAGTCTAGCCTAAATGGCATGTTCTCCGGGTTCAGTAAGACTCTGTCTCAAAAAATTAGGTGAAGAAGTGGCTGAGGAAGACAAGAGATGGTAGGTAGGTAGGTAGGTAGGTAGGTAGGTAGGTAGGTAGGTAGATAGATGATGATAGATAGATAGATAGATGATAGATAGATAGATAGATAGATAGATAGATAGATAGATAGATAGATAATGAAAATGAGAATGAATGAGTCACAAAACTACGACTGGTATCCAAGGAGAGACCCCCTCTTTTCTTCTGGAATGGAAGTACTGCAGCCATCATTCTACTGCCTAAATTCAAAATCAGCAACAAGGATAACGAATCCAAGGAACGCAAGAGTTCCCAACTACCCACAGACACCACTCTACTTTAGACTTGTAGTTTTATGGATAAACAAATTTCCCACTGGCTTTTGATTCTTATGTGTCTTTGTTACCATGGTTCTTTGCTCTAGGGTAAAAAAGTTTATGGCCTCTACTATGCTTGTTCTGCTCCTAAGAGTCTCTATAAACTTCAAGGATTAATTAAGATTTCTAAGTGTCACTTTTAGAAAAGAAATGTTATGTTAGGCGTGGTAGCACACGCCTTTAGTCCTAGCATTAGCAGAGGCAGGCAGATCTATGTGAGTTCCAGGCCAGCCTGGTCTACACAGTGAGTTCCCAACTGGGGCTACAGAAAGACCATCTCAAAAGGACCAAAAAATGAAGGAAGGAAGGAAGGAAGGAAGGAAGGAAGGAAGGAAGGAAGGAAGGAAGGAGGGAGGGAGGGAGGGAGG